ATCTATCTATCTGTCTCTCTATCCATCTCTCTATTTATTCATAACTATCTCCAACAGAGAAAGCTACACATTTAGGAGTAACAGAAAGAGGAGGCGGTGAAGCAGACACACTACTGAGAGTAAGTTGGTACTTTTATTATATTAATGTTTATAATTTAAATGATGTGCTTTGAGGTCATATTTGATTTTAATTTAATTGAGATATTCTGTTTGTGTTGTTCCTATTAAACCGTATTCAATTTGAATTGTCGGACCTTAAATGTATCTTTTCATGTTAGTTTATTTAAAGGCCTGAATAAGTATTAAATACTCTTTAATAAAGTACTTCAAAACTACAAAAAGTCAGTATTTCTCCTATTCTCATGCCTGATATAATGTATTCTTCTTTACCATAGATATGATAAGATATACTTCATTTATGGGTAATATTGCTGCAATCAACTTGAATCAGTACATAGCAAACGAGGCAGTGCAGTAGTACACCAAAGACACAAAATACATATATATGTAAAGTATTGCACATGCAAAAAGATATGAATACAAAGACATGAAAATGAGGAGATAAATCATGAAAAGCCCTATAATATACAACACTAAATGCAACAGTGCCCCTTTGCTTGCTATCTACATAAGAACGGATCAAACCTGTCTTCTTGTTCTCGTCGTGTTTTGGACGTCAGGAGGAAAGAAAAGCTTGAAGCGGATGTGAGACGGGTCCTTCACAATCCTGTCTGTCTGACTGTAGAGCTCCATTGTTGTCCAAAAATAACGTAAAAACAACAAGCAGTGAGCCACACGGTTACTTCCTGTTTTATAGTCTTTGCTAAGTACAGTGGCTGGCTGTTTATGGAATTATTGAGCCTTTTTAATATATTATAGAGAAAGATGATTAAACTTTATACGTGTGAGCTGTGTTTAAAGGTTTATCTAAAGGTTAGGACCGACTAACATTTTAGATTTTGGCTTTTATTGACATTAACAAAAATTAATAATAGTAACTTTGAAGAACTATTTAAAAAGAAAATCAGAAACAACGTTAACAATTGTTAATTGTTTTGATTTTCATCCTCAGTTAGATAAAATTTACCCTTTTGGTGTCAGAAATGTCTCTAAAGTTCTCAAATGTAATTAAGCGACTTGCAGACCACCATGATAGTTTCATAGAGCAACGCTCTTTGTTGTGTGAGAGACATTCGTTTGTGTTGTCAGTGCAGCAGACGTTCACTGTTTGCTTTAAGTACACAAGTGTTCAAACAGACTTATTAAAACCATGTCATAAATCAAACCGTGAACATCTTGTAGCAGCAATAATTACAACGATTGTGTTTTCCTTTTGTGGTCCATGAGGCTGACTTCTCCTGAAATTAAACTCTTCTCAGTTGGTTGTATCCTCTTGCAGCGCCCCCCAGAGGACGACATTTACGCCTCTGTGATTAGATTCCTCCTCTTGTTGAGGACAAGAGGAGGAATCTAATCACAGAGGCGTAAATGTGTCTCTTCTATCATTTGTCAGCAGCAGAAATGACTCAGGTCACCAATCACGGGAAGCTGCTGCTGCAGCGCTTACATCAGCAGCGGGAGATGGACTTCCTGTGCGATATAACCATCATGGTGCGAGACGTGGAGTTCAGAGCCCACCGCAACATCCTGGCTGCGTTCAGCAAGTACTTCTCCACCCAGGCGGAAAAGGGTCAGGAGGTCACCACGCTGGACCCCGAGAAGGTCAGCCGCTACGCTCTGGAGAAGCTGTTGGAGTTCATCTACACCGGACAGATGAACCTCAGCAGGTAAAAAACGGCTTCAGCTCGGGTGTTTTTAGATTCAACGATTCGTCAAGTAGCTCGAAAGACTAAAATGTTTGTTTTTTCAGCACCAGACAAGCAGCTGTGCGTCGAGCTGCCGTGTTCCTGGGAATATCGGAGGCCACAAAGTATCTGGTGGAGACCCCCCACTGGGCCGAGCTCAGCGAAACGTCCCAGTCGGAGATGGATAAAGAAGCCGGTCTCTCTCCTCCCAGTCCGGCCTCTCCCGGCAGCCCTTCCTCACCGGTCCCCCTGTCCATCGTCTCCATCGCGGGGGAGAGTCAGGAGGAGGGGGGGGCGGCGGCGGCGGCCGGCGGGGGAGAGCAGGGCGAGGAGGCGGGCTTTGTGGATGTGGAAGAGGGAGAGAAGAGCGACGACGAGTACACCCCCGTCACGCCGAAGAGCGCTGGAAGAGGAGCAGGAAGGAAGAGAGGCAGGCCGAAGAGATTTAGCGGCGAGAAGGTGGAGCCGGGCAGCTCGGCCGACGGCACACCCAAAACCCAGGGCTACAGGGGGAGGGGGAGGGGGAGAGGCCGAGGGAGGGGGAGGGGGAGGGGAAGAGGGAGAGGGAGAGGTGGTATTAAAACAGAGGATCTGTTTTTGGAGGATTCTGACGGGAGCGTGAAGGATTTCGGGGATTTCTCCGAAGACTGGAGCCCCTCTCGGGAGGACGACGACGACGACTTCCTGGCGAAGAAGCCCCGGCTGAGCGGCGGGAGGGGGCGTGGCCGCGGGAGGGGGCGGGGCAGAGGGCGGGGTAGGAGGAAGCTGGCGGCGGAGGAGGAGGAGGAGGGAGAGGAAGGGGAGAGCGGCGGGGCGGGGTCGGACGATGACATGTTGGGAATGATGATGGGGGAGGATGACGAGGACGACGAGGACTTGGACATCGGGGAACGCGATCCGTCGGAGATGGACGAGCTGTCGCTGTCGTGCACTGAGTGCAACAAGCTGTTCAAAGACGTGAGCAGCCTGCGGCGACACGAGAAGATCCACAAGGGCCTGAAGCCCTTCGTCTGCATCTTCTGCTCCAAAAACTTCCGGCAAGCCACCCAGCTGAAGACTCACCTGCGCATCCACACAGGTGAGCTGAGCGACGACCAATAAACCGCCTGCACGGGGATTTAGAGTTTTGTTTTTTCTGCCATTTTGGGTACGGTCGTCCTGAAGAAGTAAACTAGGGATTCTGTCTGCTAATGATCATTTTATTTATCAATTATATTTATATTCAACTTTTATTTCCAGACACACGAGTCCATATACAACAAAAACTAAATACGATACAATACGAGGACCAAGACAATAAATTCTCATAACTTCAAGCTCTTTGAATGTTTTGTTTTGTCCGACCAAAGAACCCCAAAATATTCAGTTTAAAGCACAGAGTAGAAGCAAATCTTCCCGTTTGAGAAGCAAACAATTGATCGTAATTGTCTGGTTTTCTGTCAGCCAAATACAGATTATCCTTCAGTGTATTTTAGTGGAGGAATCCTGAAATACAGATCAGCTCTGCTCTGCTAGCATTAGAAGAAATAATCACGTATTTAAGAAATATAACATTAGGCTTATTGAGCTGTAGGGAAAACGAGCAGCGGCGCTGCTACGTCACACAGAGTGAAGAGATTTATTCAAATCGTCCTCTATTAACGACAGTTAACTGATGATAAGATGCATCAGGGTGTATGATTCGTTTGTAGTAATTAATGAGAGCAGCATGAGCACACCCCTAAAGTAGAGGACCAGTAATATCAAATACCAGAGACATCGAGTTGACGTCAACGAGTGTTTTCTGTGTTTTCTGACTTTGTGGGTTTTGTTGCAGGCGAGAAGCCGTTCAACTGCTCCGAGTGCGACAAGTGTTTCGCTCAGAAGTGTCAGCTGGTCGCTCACCGCCGGATGCACCACGGAGAGGAGAAGCCGTACACCTGCGAGCGCTGTGGCTTCAAGTTCGCTACCTCATCCAACTACAAGATACACATCAGGTACACGCAAAATACACTTCAGGTACACGCAAAATACACTTCAGGTACACGCAAAATACACTTCAGGTACACGCAAAATACACCTCAAGGTACACGCAAAATACACATCGGGTACACGCAAAATACACATCGGGTACACGCAAAATACACAATGTCCATTTTCACTTTAGTGTTCCTTTTATTTTAGCATTTATCTGAAGAGTGTAACATTGTGTTTGGAGAGAAAAGTATTGTATCGACACATCCCTGACTTTTTGTGTGCGTGTGTGTCCTTGTGTGTTTCTGTGTGTGTGCGTGTGTGTGTGTGTGTGTGTCCTTGTATCTCTCTGTGTGTGTGTGTGTGTGTGTGTGTGTCTGTCTCCTTGTGTCTCTGTGTGTGTGTGTGTCTCTGTGTGTATGTGTGTGTCCTTGTGTCTCTCTGTGTGTGTGTGTCTCTCTGTGTGTGTGTGTGTCTCTGTGTGTATGTGTGTCCTTGTGTCTCTCTGTGTGTGTGTGTCTCTGTGTGTAAGTGTGTGTCCTTGTGTCTCTCTCTGTGTGTGTGTGTCCTTGTGTCTCTGTGTGTGTGTGTGTCCTTGTGTCTCTCTGTGTGTGTGTCCTTGTGTCTCTCTGTGTGTGTCTGTCTCCTTGTGTCTCTGTGTGTGTGTCCTTGTGTCTCTCTGTGTGTGTGTCCTTGTGTCTCTCTGTGTGTGTGTGTGTGTGTGTGTGTGTGTGTGTGTGTGTGTGTGTGT